CAAATTCAGACTAGAAATTTGAAGTATAATTTTTTCGGCTAGAAATTAATTTGTAGGAATACTTCTTCACAGTTCTTCAACAAATAGCACTTGATTTTTCATGGTATGGATGGATGAATGTTGAGAGAATTTATGTATTTGAGGTGTATGTATTGTGTAAAAGAGGGGACTATTTATTTAGGAGACATTCAGGTATATATATGGGTTGAGTTTAGGTCAAAAATCTCGTAAAATCCTTGCCAAGTTGAATTTGAATAGAAAAAGAAATCCGTTGATTCGTCTGCAACAATAGCTCTGTGCACACCGGCATAACTACCGCGCATGCCATTAAGCCAAATGGCTCTTGGGTTGGTGAAAATAGAGTGTCACACGCACGCCATGAATTGCCCCCATGCACTCGTAGGTTCGTGTGATTTGTCCCTAAACAGTTTTAGATATTTTGGATATAACTTTCTCTTCCAATATTCGATTCGATGGAGGTGATTCAAAGTGTTTTGGAATGATAGCTCAAAGGAATACATTTCTCCTAGTACTAAAATTTCTCCAATTTGATCGTTTGATATTCGAAAAATGGGTCTCAAATTCAGACTAGAAATTTGAAGTATAATTTTTTCGGCTAGAAATTAATTTGTAGGAATAGTTCAGCTATATTCCGTTACTTTAGCTCCAATTGCATCGAATCGAACCTTTTGCATATTTGATCTTTGTTTTATAGTTAGAGTCAACTATCAAATTGTTGCAAGTTGGTCCCCACACTTTTCCTTATCGCTCGCCTGACACTCGAGTGGCGAGGTTGTCACCCCCCTATTGTCTGCCTGTCGCCAAGCGATAAGGTTATCCAATCCAAACTCATTTTCGCATTTTGGACTTTTATCTATCTACAACTCGATTTCTAAGGTTTTATGTGTATAGTTATGACTTAGATTATTTCCATAACGTTCATACAATATTTTGAGAGCTTTAGATCACAATTGAGAGTATTGAGATCTTGTTGTAAACACAATTACTATTGATTAAAGTGGATTTCTCCTCATTTGCTTGTAGTTTTTCCCGTCATGAATTCAACATAAATCTTAGTATTCTTATTTTGTTCTTGTTTATTTCATTATTGTCATAATCTTGCGATCAATTTGTAACAAGTCAATTATCAATTGAATAAACATTTTTTTCATTAAACCAATGTATTTATTGATATTGTAATTTTCGTTAGTATGTCATTTGTTCGCTCCTACTAAATGTCTTGTAGTAGTTCAAGATTCATCAAGAACTCAAATCTAGCATTAAGAATGTCATCTCTCGTCAAAATAGATGAGTACAATTAAATGTCAACTATCAAATTGTTGCAAGTTGGTCCCCACACTTTTCCTTATCGCTCGCCTGACACTCGAGTGGCGAGGTTGTCACCCCCCCTATTGTCTGCCTGTCGCCAAACGATAAGGTTATCCAATCCAAACTCATTTTCGCATTTTGGACTTTTATCTATCTACAACTCGATTTCTAGGGTTTTATGTGTATAGTTATGACTTAGATTATTTCCATAACGTTCATACAATATTTTGAGAGCTTTAGATCACAATTGAGAGTATTGAGATCTTGTTGTAAACACAATTACTATTGATTAAAGTGGATTTCTCCTCATTTGCTTGTAGTTTTTCCCGTCATGAATTCAACATAAATCTTAGTATTCTTATTTTGTTCTTGTTTATTTCATTATTGTCATAATCTTGCGATCAATTTGTAACAAGTCAATTATCAATTGAATAAACATTTTTTTCATTAAACCAATGTATTTATTGATATTGTAATTTTCGTTAGTATGTCATTTGTTCGCTCCTACTAAATGTCTTGTAGTAGTTCAAGATTCATCAAGAACTCAAATCTAGCATTAAGAATGTCATCTCTCGTCAAAATAGATGAGTTCAATTCAATTGTTCGGTAATTAACCCAAATCATAAATATCGACATTGAAGAAGTTGAAAATTGACATCATTTTACTTGATTAGTTTAATAATGTTATGCTACTCTGAAATATTAAGTATAACGATCCGGCCTCTATACCTTCTAGACCTAGAAAAGGGGACACATCCTCATCTAAGATCTAAAGGTTGATTTACCTACTGTTCGCTCAAGATTCAACTTAAATTTCTCATAAGGAAGATATTATGAGTTTAAATCTTGAGTACATGATAGAAATACGTGATGGGTAAAATGGTTTCGAGCATTCCCAAAGTGAAAAGTAAGCCTAATGTAACGACTTGGGCACGAGTCATTACATTATGAATGTTCAGTACACTCCATTGCTTATTATTATAAAAAAATGTATATATACTATTTTGCCCTTTCTAGTTTGGTCAAAATTGATTTAATTTTGACTAATCCGGTCAACTAACGGTAAATGGATGTTTTCCATCCATTTAGACCTCAGGTGCATATTTTTAAAAGGTTTGGAATTGTGTGTGGCACAAAATGAAGGTTCGGGAAAAGTCTGCAAAAATTAAAAAGGTTTGGGACCGTTGCTGCAATTCTCCCTAAAAAATATGTCCTCTCTTCCACATTACAACATATCCTTCTCTCAACGGCTCTATTGCCATACTCAAATCTTCCCTGATGCACAAATATTTCACCGCATTAGGCCGAACAAACATAAAGTTGAGTTAGTTTTTGAAGAAGATGATGCAGCCGAGGCACAGGGTTGATCAAGGAAGAAAATCACTCAATAACCCTACAGTACCGTTGAATAGTTCAGCCTACAGAACACACTACTGCTATATCCAAGAAAATGATGAGATAAATTGAGCCCATCAAATCAACACAACAATAAAAGCAGCAAGTTGTAGTAAGCTCAAGGTATATGAAGCTAAATGCCAACTCAAGGATCAACATTCCATAAATGGTTAATCAAGTGAACCTAGAAGATACCAAGGCAGCAAGTTTAGGAGAAAAGCAGCCATTTAACAGAAGTTGAATTTGAGAACTATACAATTCAACTCATATTAACACGAGGATATCCCGATGATAAGGAGGCGCCTGGCTTCAAGTTACAAGCCGTACCTTGACCAATAAAAGGCACTTGTTCTTTCATGACACCTATTAAAGACATCAGTTCAATATTCCCTTCTATAGAAAGTCTCAAGCCATTCCTCCAAGGTAACAACTAATACAAAACAATCTAATTGTATTGCACTTCATTCAAATTTCAAACCCAAAATAGGAATTTGACTTGGTCTTCAAAGTCAATCAACCACCCCTCTAGTTGTATTACTCTTAATTTTAACTTCAAACCTAAAATAGGAATTTGACTTGGCCGTCAAAGTCGATCAGCTACCCCACTCATTGCTAGTGGCCGAGTAGACTAAAGTACATCTCTTTTGTGGGATCTTTTTAAGGAAAAACAGAAACAACCAACCCAATATGAAAAATTTTAAGCATCCAACATGAGTGACATTTAGGGAGAGTTGCCCAACAATTTCAATCATAAAAATTATCGAGTTATCTTCCATAGCAACAAGACAACATAAAAGCCACCCTTTCGAAAATTCTTTAAGCCCATCATTCGACAAGAGATAGGCCAGAATAACAGATACCACTTCAGTAAAAAACCAATGAAACAAAGTGACATCACAACAACAGTTACTGAAGCCAGTTCCTAAGAAAGCTCGTGAATGGAGCCAAGTCACAAGAACCTTCATATCCTATGAGACGTATAAATTATAAAGTCTTGTTAGAGAGATCTCTAAAGTCATAGGAAGTTGACCATATAAGAAAGCTAATGAATGGAGTCATCAGCCACGTCATAAGAACCTTCTGAGCTAATGGGAAAATTGCAGAACGTACAAGTAACCTTCCAAATAATGCAAGAAAAAAATGAACTTCAGGATGGTCGAGTGAGATTATGACAGGAAGTCGGGTATCATTTGAATACAGAACTCGTGGGTGCGGAGTCTATAATCAGTTTCTTACAATTGTGTTTTTACCTCCCAATCGGCACTGCATCAAGGAAGCAGATGCACTCAGTCTTCGCTCCAAAGATGTCAAATAGGATATGGGCTGAGAAACTCAACACAAATGCTGGACGATGATCCGAAGAAGTTGAGGAAAATGATAATGGGTTCAGACATTCAACAGAAATGCCGAAGAAGCCAAAAATGGGAAAAAGCTTTCATGCTTGCAGAAGAAGCCAAAGCTCGGAAGATAAGAGCACACCACAGATGGTTTGTGCTGCCATAAGTGCACCTATAAGCAAATGGGGAAGTAGTGAGCACAAAACTAGAAGCCGAAGCTTGTAGCTTTTGGAAGCTAGAAGGTATGCTTCTGAGAAAAACGATGGAAGGTAAGTCAAGATCATGAACTTAGGAAGTAAATGCTGCCAGATAGAAAAACCTCGTAAAGCTTCGAGTCTAGAAGGTCTTCTCTCCTTAGCGTAGGCACAAGTGAGCCAAGCTCGCACTCCCAAAAGTTTAGACGTCGAAGAATAAGGGAAAAGAGAATGCTGCCTCAAGCCAAAGGTGTTGACTTTGCAACCCCACACCAGTCAACTTAGATTAACATATATAATTAAGTCTTAAGAAATACAAGAACCCTGGTTTCAAGTTTCAAGGTGACTTCAGCAATAAGTTGGCCATTAAAAATACTTGTCCTTTCCAGCACGCCTATCCATGGAATAAGACCTCTTTTTGCTTTTGTAGAAGCACTCAAACCAAACCTACAAGGTAACAAGTAATACAGAGCAATCCATTAATTCCTCTTCTTTGTTCAAGTCAAACCTAAGACAAAAATTTGACTTGACTGTCAGACTCAATTTGGCATTGCACCAATCTTGAAAGTTGAGTAGACTAATTGGCATATGCTTTATAGGATTTTTGATGGTTCAATAGAATTATTAGCATCCATCATACTTGACAGGGAGTTATCCTGCATTTTCCAACATCAACAACTCCAACTCTTTGGAGTTTTAAAAGTGGCTAATTAAGCTAGTCTTAGCAACAAGGTAAATACATAGATACGGTAACAAATCAACCAAAATCAAGCATTATGCACTTAATTTTAGGCTGGAATATATCTTAAACAATTAAAAGCATAAAATGATGTGTAGGTCCTTCTTCAATTAGTTAATATTTTCTTTTTACTTATTTGCATCTATACTTCCAGCTCATGCTATTAAGTTACAACAAAATTAATGCACAATAATTTCATCAAAGAAACGCAGTCAAAATTTCCTGAATTCCAACCATTTTCAAAGAAGCCACTTCCTCACCTTTTTTTCATCACTTGGACTTGTAGGCTGGAATATATCTTAAACAATTAAAAGCATAAAATGATGTGTAGGTCCTTCTTCAATTAGTTAATATTTTCTTTTTACTTGTTTGCATCTATACTTCCAGCTCATGCTATTAAGTTACAACAAAATTAATGCACAACAATTTCATCAAAGAAACGCAGTCAAAATTTCCTGAATTCCAACCATTTTCAAAGAAGCCACTTCCTCACCTTTTTTTCATCACTTGGACTTTATACTCACTCCATCTCCGCCAGCAATAATGACAGCAGTAGTCATATCCAAGAACAATCCATGCTCAACCACCCCTTCGAAAGCTGCAATTTCCTTCCCGGCAGCAGCCGAATCCTTTATGGGCGTCTTGAAATACAAGTCCACAATGTAATTCATGTTATCAGTCACATAAGGTTTCCCATCACCATCCAATCTCAGCTTCGCTTCGCACCCTTCTTCTTTGAATAACTCCTGCAGTCTCACCAAATTGTACTTCCAACAGAATTGCACCACTTCCACAGGCATTGCCAGGCCCGACCCACCAAGACCATCCACCAGCTTCGATTCATCCACCACAACCACAAACTTATCCGAGGCGGCCTCGACCATCTTCTCGCGCAAAAGGGCCCCACCGCGACCCTTGACAAGATCAAGATCTGGGTCAACCTCATCTGCTCCGTCAATGGCCAAGTCCAGATGAGGGTGGGCATCGAGGGTTGACAATGGAACGTTAAGACTAGCAGCTTGCTCCTGAGTCCTCTTCGAGGTGGGCACACCCACAATATTCGTAAGCTCGCCGGACTTAATCAACTCGCCAATCTTGGCCACCACGAAGGCGGCAGTGGACCCTGTACCCAACCCAAGAACCATACCGCTCTTAACGTATTCCACGGCCTTATCAGCAGCAAGTTTCTTGAGATCATCTTGGGTCAATACTGAGGGAGGAGTGGACAGGGCTTTGATGACGAATTTAGAAGGGTACCGCAGATTAAGGTATGAAGAACCTAGATTAAGGCGGCGGGTGGCATTGCGGTGGTTAACGGAGGAAAGTGATGTGGGAGAGAGGAGGGATAAGGTGGTGGCCATGGGAAGCGAAAATGGGAGGTTGGTGTGGAATTTGGTGTGTGCTCCTCTCTTACCTAATCTTCCAGTGAAAGGGGTTGGACTTGTTGGATCGGTTTTCTATTTATAAGGCACGTGGCTGCCTTTGAGATTCACCTTTAAGAATCATTTTTAAGGTGAAAATGAAAGCCAAGGAATTGGAGGTTGGTGGCAGTGGCGTGAATCGCGAGATAAAAAGAAATTGTTCTAAAGGATCATGGGTGTTAGCTGGCCGCCCACGGATCTGGGTCGAGCAGCGAATTTCTCGTACGAATTTTTCGTTGGTGTTGAAGCATTGCGAGTTGACTCATTGTAAATGGNCACGGATCTGGGTCGAGCAGCGAATTTCTCGTACGAATTTTTCGTTGGTGTTGAAGCATTGCGAGTTGACTCATTGTAAATGGTAAAAATTCAGCCATTGCTTGCACCGCGTTATTTTTATAAAAATACGTGTAATAATAGTGTTTCGCGCGGGTTAGTCACTAACAAAAATGGATCAGACGATTGTGTAAGGGACAAGCCTCTTGAGACAAAATCCCAAAAAGGGGTGTTTTTATTGACGATGACTTTACAATTAGAAAATAAAAAAGAATGCCTCCAAGGGGCGCAAGCACACGAGTTACTGAAAAGAAGTGTTTAAATCTAAACTAAAAAATTGAAAGATACATATTCTCTGTTTGAGACTGTTTGATTCGGGATCCTTTACTCAATGTATTTTCTTCCTTTTATACTCCCTGAATGATCTCTTCGTGATCAACCGTTTAAAAACTGTTTGATCGCTTTATAACTGCCCACTTTTTTCATAGTGGCCAACTTGTCATGGAACTGCCTTCTCTAATTGCTGTCATTACTTTTTGTAGTTCAATCATCTTCAATTGAATTCCTTGAATCGTGGAACGTGATAGGGCTACTGCTTCATTAACCGCACCTTTGGGTAACCATAACATCTTATATTTTCTAAGATCCTGGACGATTCGAAGGTTTGGGTGAGAACGGAGTCACAGCTCTGGGCGACTGCATGGCAATCCATTCGCTTAAATCTTGGGCGACTTATAAACTTGGGCGATGGTATTACCGCGTTCATGGGCTTCCCTATTTGGGCCTTTATCCTGAATTGCCTGATTGGGCCGTTCTTTGAGCTATCTGATTTGGGGATCCTCCAATTGGACTTCATTCCTTGGGCTGAATTTTTTGTGTGTCAACAATTACCCCCAATATGGCAGAATTAATACCAATTATTAATTTTTGCCATATTCACTTTGTGTTTCCCAACAACATTTGAAATTCCCAAGAATTTCAATCATTATTTTCTTCCATAATCTGAAAAGCTGCGACGTTTGCAAACCCTTATAACCCCCAAATACACATCATTTCATTGCACCACTAAATTACGCCTTATTGTTTCGCGCTTCTCTCTCGCAATATTACTGTTCATCTTCTTGCTTCTCTGCTACGTTTTTTAAGCAAACTTCGATAAACTCTATTTCGTTCCTAATGGCTGCTTCACAATCCCAGTCTGGTGACTCCTTCGGTTTCGAAAACTTCCAGAAACTCCTCACTCGGCCATATATAACTCTGAACTTCCTTGCACCAGCCAATGTCGAACTCAATGAGTTCTATCTAGGTCATTCATTCAACAACGCCGAGGCCATCGAACAAGCAGCGGTCGGTCAACTGTTCCCTTGTACTCAAGACCCTCCGTTTCTAAACTCTTTGCCGCTGAGGCCGCTTCGCGAAAGAGGTATTCGCACTTGGCCTAAATCTGATGTCGTTTTTCGTAGATGGCATGCTTGCCTTGTGGACCATGGTCCTACTAAGACAATTTTTTATAGTGCTAGGATTTCTGATTTGTTAGAAATCTCTCTTCAACCCCCTATTTTTTACCCAGCACTTTTTCCAATCGCTTTAAATTTTTGGTGTTCTGAGTATAATACTTTTGTTTTCCCTCTTGGTCCCATATCCATTACCTTAAGGGATGTTGGGGCCCTAGTAAATCTGCCACCTTTGGGCGATACCATTTTCCGTGGTATTTTGATTTCTGGTGTCGTCCCAAAATTTGATAGAAAACTCATCGAGTCTTATTCAAGTCTGCAAACCTGTCATAACTACTCGAGCACTGAGCCTTCCCATACTGAGCGTGTGGCCTTTCTTCAGATTTGGCTTTATAAATACATTTTGTATGTGCCAAGCATAAAGCCCTCCATGAGCTATTTACCCATAGCGCACAAATTGGTGCGTGGTAGGCCTCTAAATTTATGTTCTTTCTTTTTAACTGCCCTCTATAGAGGCATGGCTTCTCTTCAATCCCAATTGAAGAATGGTGCATCTCCTACTGGTAGTGGGCCTCTTTGGTTCACTCAAATGTGGTTGAGAGTCTATTTTCCATCGCTTGGTGCTCCATCCTTTTCCAGTCCTTCTGCTAGCTGCTATGGGCTAGCCATTAATCCCCTGACTCCTGTAAATATGTCCAGAAGGGATATTTTTTCATTCTTTTATATTCTGAATTCAATCCCTTCCTTCTTTCCTTTTCCTCCCTTTTTGACTCCAGATTATGTGCAACCTCCATCCACTCTGGATAGTGCGAACACCTCTGTGTTCGTTTGGATTTAATTTTTGACCGGGAGGGAGTTGTTCCATAATATTTTAACTGAGACCAATGCCAAAGCTGGGGTTGAAATATATGCTCCCCAATTTTTTGCTCGCCAACTTGGTTTTAGCCAAACTTGGCCCGTTCCCCCTTGCTATTCAAGAAATTTGATAGACCGCTTCCACACCATTAATAAGGCAGAGGCAGGAGCTATAGATGCTTACAATATTCTTTTGACAAGCAACTTTTCATTAGCCCCCTTCAATCCTAGCCGTGCCATCCATCCCCTTTTTGAACGACTCTGGCCGTCAGTGAAACGCAGATTGTTTGCGACTAATGCCAATCGTGCTTTCCATTCACTAGACCACTCAAACATTTCTTCCACCTTTCCTGTTTTGGTCACTCCTATGTCCATTAGGAGTCCCTCTTCCCCTGCTCGTGCTAAACAGTCTGCTTGTCCATCGACTTCTCTTCCCGCCAAGCCCACTGCAGCTAAAAGTGCCCCAAGCCGCAAACGGCCAGCCTCAGCATCTCCCATTCTGGAGGATGATGCTGATGATAATGATGACACCCCTCTCTTCGTCAAGAGAAAGGTAATTAAATTGGTTTACTCACAAACATACCTTTCCATACTTGAAACTTTTCTATGTGCTGATGATTTATTTGGATTTCTCAGAAAAGTTCAGCCTCTCCTTTGAAGGCTTTGGTGTTGGCAGCTCCTGCTCCATCATCCTCTACTGAGGCTGCTTCGTCCAAACCAGCTGATAAAGAGACTACGCTTAAAGAGAAATCTTCAATCCCAAAATCTTTATCACAACCAATGGATGAGCCACCTTCTTCCCAGGGCATTGACCCCCCAAATGTCGAAGCAGAAGGTAATTCATTTTTTAATGCTTTACCTTTGCTTGTGCTATTGGTTTTTGATTTGTTGCTTTTTGAGTTCTGCAGATGCTTCCATGAGTCTGTCCGTTGCGGCAAGGTCTTCTTGCTTAAACAAGGGGAAATCCTCACAAATTATGGAGCCACAGGTGGTAGATTGGCTGGGGATATGCCACCTTCCAAGATTGCTGATGAGGTAATCTTTGCTTCACCTTTACTTCCACTTTGTTTAGTGTAGTGAAAACCTTCAATGTTGGCAACTTTCTTTGCAGGATGCTGATAAAATTGTGCGTTCCATCCAAGACTTGTTCACTTCCTGGGGGCAAGTCAAGACATCTCGCCCTGCTTCAGCCAGTCGTCCTTCTACTTCTTCAGAGGAAAATATGAAATTCCTCAAGCCGTCGATATTTGAGTATGTGTCCTTCATGGATATGGACGTCGGTAAGGCTAGTGCTGCCAAGCATAAGGATAAGCTTGAGCATTGGAATGCGAAATTGGAGCAAGCACTGACACTTCCGTCGCTCCATCTTTCTACTGATTTTAAAGCGACGTTGAAAGTTGTCCATTCCGAGGTCCTCTCCTTGCTGGCCAAAAATGTTAAACTGAAGGCCAAAAGTACTCAATATTTTCGCGCTGTATCTGAAAGAGAATCTTTGCTTTTGGAGATCAACAAAGCTGAGAACGAATTGAAAGAAATCTCTTCTGAAGTCATGATTGAAGACTCCTTGATGACCAGTTTGGCTGCATAGATGAAGGAGCTTCAAGAAAAGATGGACGACTGCAAGGCGAGAATGGCTGCCAAAAAATGCAATGCCTCCCAAGAAATTGAGCGAACCAAGTCTTTGGTCGAGCAGTACAAGAAGTTGGAAGTTGATGATGATGTTATGGCTGAATTGAATATCACTTCTTCTCGGCAGAGCGAGGACTGGGGGAGACTCAGGGAAAGAATTCGTTTGGTATGGGGCGAATTGTAATAAAGACATATAATGCCTTAACTTTTTCTTTTTGTAATTTCGTATTGACTTTCCCTTTGTAACCTTGTACTGATATCCATTGCTAATTTTGATCATAACAGCAGCCATCATTATTAATGAATAACTATTTTAGCTTCTTGTATATTTATTGATGTTTGTCTCTTAATCGTCAATCGCTCAAGCATTTAACTGCTTTATGCTAAAAAAATTTGCACATTTTCTCTTGATATTTCTGCCTCTTTTCCCAAAACTTTGGGCCATTTGATTCTAGTTACTAGGCACGAATGTGACCGTTCATATTCTGTCTCTTCACTTTCACGCCTCTATCAATGCACTTATATTTCACACTTGTCATTTTCATTTCCATTTTCTTCTTCAAAATCAATTTGCTGCCATTGTTTGGCACTTTGACAATCGATCCAAAGCCTTCGTCTTCCATGGAAATGGATCATTTGATTCGCCCATTTTGCCATCTTTCTTGATGTTACCTTTGGTATGGGAGATATAGGAAATATTCTTTAGCCAGCGAAGTTCTTCCCATCATCTCCATGTTCTTTACAAGGAGTTCGATGATGGAAAATAATTTTTGAGGATGCCTGCAAGCCACCTTGCTTGCTGAGAGTGCTTCT